TTTTTTTTATTGTAGGCTGTAATTTTTAGGAAAAACTCACTGAAATCTGTCCGAACAAGAGTCTAGTAAACATCCCGGGTATGATAAAATTTGAAACACAAAATCATAAATTATAATTTAATAAATAATCATAAAAAATAATATAAAAATAATAAAAAATTTAATTCAATAATATAATCAAACCAAAAACACTGAAATGTGAAATAGAGCGCCAAAGTTCGCACATTGCTGAGCTCAGTCGCAAAATCGTTTTCAGTGTCTGATGATGAATTTCCCCCACGAATCATTATCACTCAATTCTGCAAGTGGTTCTGATTTACTATCGCTGTTCTCTAGCTGGTCTAAACCGCTTTTGACCTAAAGGGACACTTTTTGGACGCCATGGACATTTCTCAGTTTCCAGGCAGAAAGAACAGACAAAATGCAGGCAGGGCGCAGGACAAAGCACTAGGGACAATATGTATGTAAAATTGGTTGAGACAGCAATGTTTTACTATGTAAAATGTAAAAAAAAAAAAAATGACATTTTTTAAAATTTTTAAATTTCCCGCCGCCGGCGGCGGCGGCGCCCGTACGTCCCGACGTCACAGGGACAGGACACAGAAGCCGGATGCCGGCATCGGCCGGAGGAGATGGCCGGGGACGCTGCAGGGGACACATCGTGGGAGCGCAGGGTAAGGTAAGTGAAGAACACTTGCCGGAGCAGTGCCGCATGGTATTCCCGAGTGTAGCTCGGGGTTACCGCTTTTGGTACTGAAATGTTACCCCGAGCTACACTCGGGAATACCGCTAAGAAGGTTAACAGCTTGAAATACTGCTACAGGGCGGCAGGGCTGCGCAAAATCACGCATATATACGTGATTAGGATTTCTGGGTAGGGGGCACGTGCGCCGCCCTATCCGGGCTGCCATTGGTGGCTAGGGATGTCAATCACCAGGTCCTCACCGTCTCTTGGCAATTGTCAGGGAAAGCTGACAAGGGAGAGACCTGTGTGTAAACAACACAGATCTCTCTTCTGTCAGCATGGACATGTTGTTTTGTATCTCTGCACAGCAGAGAGATAGAAAACAGCATGTCTCCAAAGTAAAACACACCCACAGCACACAGTTAACTCTTTGATCGCCCCAGATGTTAATCCCTTCCTGCCCAGTGTCATTAGTAGACTGCCAGTGCTTTTTTTTTAGCACTGATTACTGTATTGATGCCACTGGGGGTGTCAGTGGCAGTTAGTCAGATCCCATCCAGTGTCAGAATGCCTGCCGCAGTCCCTCTATAAGTCACTGATCGCCGCCATTACTGGTATCAAAACAATTAAACAAAAAATTTGTAGATGCTATAACTTTCAGGTAAACCAATTAATTTACATGTATTGGGATTTTTTTTTAGCAAAGACATGTCACAGAATACATTTTAGCCTAAATATATGAAGACATTTTATTTAAAACATTTTATACTGGATGTTTTTTTTTTTTTGTCAAAATTGTCAGTCTTTTTTTGTTTATAGTGCAAAAAATAAAAAACACACAGGTGATCAAATAACATCAAAAAGAAAACTCTATTTGTGGAGGAAAAATTACTTAAATTTAATTTATTTACAGTGTTACATGACTGCACAATTGTCAGTTAAAGTAATACAGCGCAGTATCGCAAAAAATTGCCTGGTCAGGAAGAGGGGTAAGACCTCTGGAGGGCAAGTGGTTAAGTGGAGAGTATAGTATATTTAAGCGCACAAGTTGTTTTTTGATAACATTTCATTGAAATCATCATTGATGCAAATTTCATATTTTTACTTCTTTGCAGGTCTATATATGTATATGTGTAATGCTCTCTCTAATGATTAACATGTGTATTGGGGAATATTGACATATTAAATACCAAAATAAGCTCAAATAGCCTTTTATATAGTCTAATGGTTTTGATCAAATCAAATCAAAAGAGAAAAGCAGCAGTGAAGGACAGTCACTATGTGCTTCTATATGCCTTATTAATAGGAAACAAATGTGGCTTCCCCATGAAACTACAGTATGTACAGAGAATAAAACAACAAACTGATTGTAAACCCCTATATACAGTATAACCACTAAAGTGACTAGCCTCAGGTGATACACAGAGATGAAACAAATCATCCTACGTATGTTGTCCCTGTTTATCTGCAGTCCCTTCCTCTCTACGTCTATCCAAAGTCTACAATTTATAAAACTGTCTGGAAGATTTCTGAAAATGGGGCAGAGGGATGAAATGACACACTGCAGAGATCAGTGAGGAGAGCTCTGAGAGCTGATTGGAGAGCACACACCCCTTTACACAGTACACATAAACAGAGCTGAGGCTGTCAATCACAGGCTGTGTGCTGGAGGTCCTTCCCCATCACCTTTTTTCTCTTAGTGTTAGGAAAACTTGTTAAAAGGGATCCACAGTGATAGCAGAGGAATGAAGCAGCAGACAGAAATGGCACTCAGTGCTCTTAATGGAGACAAGTACACACTATAGAGGGATATGCTTTGTTCATATTTCATGTCTGCAGTTTACAAATGCTTTAAATAATAAGTCCATTTAAATGAAGCTGATTCTATTTATGTATATTTTATGATTGACTTTTTCCTACTGGAATAATGACTCACAAACTGGCACATGCCTCAAATGCTGTCAGATAAGAAGTGCAGGTGTTGTCAGTCTGGATGTTAAGAGCAGCTGTACATAAAGGTATACAGATGTTACAGTGAAACAACTGCTGTCTCAGAGGCATGAAAGCCCCCAAAGGATGGATCACAATTGCGAACAATATAAAGCTAAATTCTTTAAAATTTTATGGGGTACAGCTTTTTGAACTACAGTTTAATACTTTGAAAAAAAAAGGCGTTTGCTGCATCCTTGCTGTGGTGTCCAGCCAAACATATTCTCCATGTGGATGTAATAGAATTGCATTTTAAATGCACCACACTGCATGAAGTACAAATAAATCATTTAGTGGAAAGCTTTGGGGTGAATCTACTTTGATAAATATGTCCCTCTGTGTGAATAACTGTTTATGATTTGAAGCCTTCTAAGCTCACTGTGTATATTGAGTAATAAACAAAGATGGTGTACTTTGATTTGGTTCACCAAACCTCATACCACCAGTGTTCAGTGTTGGTCCTTTAACCACAAGCCTACCGAGCACTTATACCCCCTTCCTGCCCAGGCCAATTTTCAGCTTTCAGCGCTGTTCGCATTTTGAATGATAATTGCGCGGTCATGCAACACTGTACCCATATGAAAGTTTTATAATTTTTTTGTGACAGATAGAGCTTTATTTTGGTGGTATTTAATCACCTCTGGGTTTTTTATTTGTTCTTAACCATTAGCCGCCCAGCCAATGGCCGTTTGGCGGCTTGAAATGTGCTCCTGTATTCCGGGTGCACGCCATTTGGCGTGCTCCCGCACATGCGCGGTTTGCGCGGTTTGCAGAGCGACGCAGCAGTGCGATCTGTCACCGCCCGTGCACCTCGGACACGGCCAATGACAGATCCGAGTACCGACTCCTGTTGCCGGTACCATGTGACCTGCTGTGACCAATCACAGCAGGTCACATGACAGTTGTATACAATGGATGGCTTCATTCATGATGCCATCCATTGTATACTAGTGCCTAGCTGTGAATGGTCACAGCTAATCACATGCACATGTCATGTGATTAGCTGTGACCAAATCACAGCTAAGCACAAAAAAAAAAAAAAAAAAAGCTGAATAAATCGATTTCATTCAGGTAAATGCTTGCTTATAGCAAAGTAATTCTTTGCTATAAGCAAATTGTGTAAAAAAAAAAAAAAAAAAAAGAATTACTGATCACTTCCCCAAAGTAGTACAGTGTTACTATGGTAACATTGTACTATTTTGGTCATAGTAAAATATGAAAAAAAAAATCTTAAAAAAATAAAAAAAAATGTAATAAAAAATTAAATATAATAAAAAATTTTAAAAAATATATATATATTTTTTTTTTTCATACTGTCACCAGTCAGTGTCGCTGTTCACCGCCATGCCAGTTATATGATGACGCTGTACTGCACTGATGACAGTATGTAAAAAAAAAATAGTGAAAATAATTTTTTTCATTTTTTTCATTTTCCGAAAAATTATGACAAAAAAATACAACTTCAAAAAACTCGCCATGCCTCTTATGAAGTACGTCGGACTGTCTACTCTGCAAAAAGGGGTCATTTGGGGATATCTGTACTGTTCTGACATTCTTGGACCTCAAGATATTAGATTGGCTGTCAGTACTTCAGGATTGATCAATATTCAGATCTATACCATAGATTGTGAACTCTATAACTTTCCTACAAACTAAAAAATACATCCTAATTTGGGTTATTTTCACCAAAGACATGTAGCAGAATACATCTCGGCCTAAATTTACGAAGAACAATTATTTATTTGTAAACTTTTATAACAGAAACAAAGAAAAATGTGGGTTTTTTTCAAAATTTTTGGTCTTTTTTTGTTAATTTAGCAAAAAATAAAAACCCCGGCGGTGATTAAATACCACCAAAAGAAAGCTCTAGTTGTGTGAAGAAAATGATAAAATTTTAGTTTGGGTACAATGTTGTATGACCGCGCAATTGTCATTCAAAGTGTGAGAGCGCTGAAACCTGAAAAATGGCCTGGGCAGGAAGGTGTAAAATTGCACGGTATTGAAACGGTTAAACAAACCAAAAAACACTGAAAATTTTGAAAAAAAAAAAAGTTTTTCTTAGTTTTTGTTATAAAAGTTTGTAAATAAGTGATTTTTCTCCTTCACTGATGTGTGCTAATGAGGCTGCATTGATGGACACTGATAGGTGGCACTGATGGGCACTGATGAGGAGGCACTGGTAGGTGGCACTGATGGGCATTGACAGACATCACTGATGAGCACTGAAAGGCAGCACTGATACATGGCACTGATATATGGCACTGATAGGCGGCACTGACTGGCACTGTTAGGTGGCACTGACTGGCACTGTTAGGCGGCACTGACTGGCACTGTTAGACGGCACTGACTGGCACTGATAGGCGGCACTGACAGGCACTGATAGGCAGCACTGATGCACACTGATAGGCGGCACTGACTGGCACTGATAGGTGGCACTGATTGGCATTGATAGGTGGCACTGACTGGCACTGATGGGTGACACTGAAAGGCAGCTCAGATGGGCACTGATATGTGGCATTGGTGTGCACTGGTAGGCACTGATATGTGGCATTGATGTGCACTGGTAGGCACTGATATGTGGCATTGATGTGACACTGATGGGCACTGGCACGAGGCACTGATGAGCACTGACACAAGGCACTGATGGACACTGACAGGTGGCACTGCTTGGGCTTCACTGATCATCAGGGCACACTGATCATCAGGCCCTGATGATCAGTGTGCATGTCCCCTCTGAGGAATGCCGATTACCGGCTCTCCTCTCGAGCTGCCAGCGTGACAGCCCGTGAGGAGAGAAATGCCGATAACCTGCATTTCTCTTTTTACATGCGATCAGCTGTGATTGGATACAGCTGATCACATGACTGATCCGACATCTTCGGCTCTTTCCATGATCGGTGATCCGCTGTGTCCGAGGGACACAGTGCACCGCCGATCGCCGCTCTGCGCGCTCCCTGAGCCGCGCATGCACGGTGGGAACGAGAGAACCACCTTGCGTCCGTCATATTACTATATGGCAGGCGGGAGGTAGTTAACGTGGCAAGTTCAAACCTGGGAATGTTTTTTTAAGAGATTTTATTTCCATTTGTCAAGAGATGATTGTTATCTTCTCTGGGCCAAAGCTCATTTAAAGTGGAACATAAAATATTAAAAAAGACAAATGGGCATGAATTTTAATGCAAAAGACACATGCTTTGTCTCTTTTGCACTAAAGTTACCTACCGGTCCGTCCACCCCTGTACAATGAGCTGTGCAGGTGCAGTTTACTGTACAAATTTGGCAAAGCTAAATCTGACTGAACTCCCGCACATGCGCTGGAATGACAACATCCTTGCCCGGCCAATGAAAGCGGCAAGCGATCAAGAACTGGAAGATGGCTGCCAAAAGATGTCAGTGGCCAAGCGGGAAGCTCCAGGACACCACATCGCTGGATCCAAGGTGAGTATAGTTCCTCTGTTGCAAAGTGGAAAACTATCCTGGGGTCAGACAAATCGAAATTTGAGATTCTTTTTTGTAACCATGGGCGCAACGTCCTCTAATCTAAAGAGGAGAGGGAGCGCCTGACTTGTTTCACGGCTCAGTTAAAAGCCTGCATCTCTGGTGGTATAGGGGTGCATTATTGCATATGGAATGGTCAGCTTGCACATCTGGAAATGCACCATCAGTGATGAAAGATATATATAGATTATAGATATAGAAACTTGTTCGCACATCTTGATCTGAGAAGACCTGGAGCTGTTGAGCAGTTAGAATCCTATATCAGGCAAGCCTGGAACAACATTCCTCTCCCAAAACACCAGCAATTAGGGGCGGACTGACAACTCATGGGGCCCCCAGGCAATAAGAGATCATGGGGCCCCTGTGTCCTTGCCCAAACTCAAAAAAACCTATGAAAAAGGTACCAGGGGCATCTCATGGGGCCCCCTACTGACCCCGGGCCCTCGGGCAGTGCCCGAGTTTTCAAATGGTCAGTCCACCCCTGCCAGCAAGTGTTGTTAAAAGAGGAGATGCTACACCATGGTAAACATGGCCCTGTCCCAACGTTTGTCAGGATGTGTTGCTGCCATACATTTCAAATTTACCTTTTTATGGCACATTTACCCAGTTTCAACATTTGATATGCTTTCTATTGTGAATAAAATATGGGTTTATGATATTAGCAAATAATTGCATTCTGTTTTTAAGTAGATTTTACACAGCATCCCAAATTTTGGGGAATTTGGGTTGTATTGGGGGGTGGGGGGCATTTTCAATTTTGCTGTAAAATGTTTCAAAATCAAGTTGAAAAGTTAATTTAGGTCCAATACATTTAACAATATAGGTTCAGCAATGTGAAATGTAAAAAAAAACACTTGTTTCACCATTCCTATATTCCTGTACTGATGAGCCTCATGTAGTTGCCTAAAGTAATTTATGTATTTTGGTTACATCATGGATGTTCATGGTGTGTCCAAGCTTCATCCACATTTCTCTAGCAGCTCAAGCAGAGCTAGATTGTTTTCCCTCGTGGATGAAAATAAAATATTATTTGCAAAATGGCAAAAATGCCTTCCGTGCACAGAGAATATAGAATACGCCCAGAATGTTTCATTCTTGATTATGTGACTGGCTCACAACACAAAGATAAGTAAAAATTTGGGCATCTCTTGCAACAGGAGTTTCACTTTTTGTTTGGCTCCAAAGGGATGCAGACCTTTTCTTCAATGGTTTTAATACTGAAAGATAACCCTCCCAGTCTGAAGTCAGTTTGAAAAAGGGTGTGAAAAAACAGAATTTTTCTTGGAAAGAGATAATCAACAAAGAAGTTTGATAAAACCCTTGCAACATGCTGTATAGGTTATCTAGAGGGATTTTTGTACTCCAAAAAACTATAGTCATGCTTTGAGTTTCATCTTTTATATATTGATGGTACAATACCTGATGTTACACATACATAACATGACCATGGTAGATGTCATAAGGTAGTAGTGTGGTATGGAACCTTTTCCTATAGCAAGGAAGGGAACTGGTGATTGCAGTTCACATGGTGGAGCAGTTTGCTACGCATAACAATTAAGCCATGTTTTCTGAGAATTTCAATTTCATAATCAATGCCTAAAAAGTAAAATTTTTTGGACTTTTTGTTTTTCATTAAATATTTCAGTAGATATTGGACGTGGCATTGTCTATTTTCAGTAGATGCCCACAGCACTACCCTGTGGGGACATCTAAAAAAATGTTGACTAATTGTTCTCAGAATCTCAGTTTGTACAAAACCAATGAGCTCTTCATTATATATCATGTGGGCTATATATACCTGTGCTGTTGAATAAAAACAATACAAAAATATATACCAAATGTAAGTGCAAGTGTTCCATTCCTTTGCATTAGTGTTCAACTAGCAGTGCCTATGTGCACAGTACATCCAAAGAAAAGACAGTTATAGCAATCTTAACCTAAAATGGGAAAATCTGGAAAACAAAACATAATTTTGGATTTGTGATTGAAGTAAAATATGCAGATTAAACCAATTCAAGGTTCTGCAATTCCTATTTATGATCCCCTTCCCCAGTAGCAGTTGTACAAATATCCTGTTTGGACATTAACCATATATCACTTAAATAGAGTGCTTAGCAACAAGTTAGATAAAATGCATAAACCCTTCACCACAATTAAATTCCAATTAAAAAAGTAATACACTGTTATGAAATAAATACATAAAATATATATCAAACAAATAAAATGAATTAAACAATTAATGTAAATCCATATACTATAGTAACAAGACCATAAACCAATTCAGTGTACATTTGCTGCGTATTGTGCAAATAAATATGTGTATCTACGCTCTTCGTGGTAGAAAGTGCTAGTGCTCAACAACAAAATTCATATAAATCATACACAATACACAAACACATACACATATATACAAGTCCATACACAATATGAACATCTATTTGATGCAACAGCTGTGCAAACCCCAGCTAAAATAAAGTTCTAGCACTACTTTCAGCACCTGATGATGTTCGGTGTGAAGAAACACATTGGAGGGGTCAAGTGTGAGGGTTCAACATGTGGAATTTCACACTTTGCAATGGAAGGTTTTGCAGTGGTGTGTCGACTGATGTTTTAATAAAGCTACATTGTTGCTCTGTTGGACTTTTTCTCTGTACTTTACTACTTTACTACTGTACTTTAGGGGTCAATTAAATCTGATTAGTGATTATGAGTCACTGAGGGGGTACTTTTGATAGCCAGGTTTTTGCATATCTATTGCATCAAATGGAATTAAATTTCGCACTTTGAAATCAAAGGTTTTGCAGTGGTGTGTCGATTGAAGTTTTAATAAAGCTACATTGTTGCTCTATGGGACCTTTTCTCTGTAATTTTGTTTAATGGAACCTTGAGGAGATAATAAAAACCAGTCTTTACTTTTACTTACAAATTGGAAATCGTTTGTGGTGGTGGTGGTGGTTGGGGGGGGGGGGGTACATTTTATTTATCTTGTTGGTAAGTGCTGTATTTAAATTATATGGGATTTGCATATACCTCAAGGCTAATTTACTGAAGGAGTTGAGAATCTTTACAAGGAAAATGTGTGAATATTCTCTATAAAGATCCAATCATGTGAAAAGCAAGTCCCTGTTCACTTTAAGCACCCAACCATGTTAGATACTTTGACTGAATCAACAAAGTGAGTTAGGGACTTTAGATTGTACGCCCCTTGAGGGTTAGGGACTGATGTGAATGTACAATATATATGTAAAGTGCTGCATAAATTGACGGCGCTATATAAGTACCTTAAATAAGTAAAAAAATAAAAAATAAAACAAAGTGAATTTTCAAACAGTTTGTTCAGTGAATATTTTAAACCCCTTTAGTAAATTAGCCTCCTTTTTGAAGAAGCTCTGCTGTTCTTCTTAGTGAATATGGTGAAGCTGTGTTCACATCAATCATGTAATTATCTTTTTTTTTTTTTTTCTATTGCACATTGTTTGCTGTTCAACATGTCTTCACTTTTTTCAGTAATCTAATTACATTTTTTACTCTTTTTGTAAAACGTTTCAGCTTTTGAAGTGAATGGGCTGCTTGACAGTAAATCCATTATAAGAATGATACAGCCTTTTATTTATTTATGATGTAACAAGAATTAGGTGGAGCAAAATGTATCAGTAACTATGTCAGGAACGTAGAACAAGGTAGACAAACCTGGATGGCTTATGTCCTTGTCTTGTACAACAGATGGTATAAGGGAACTTCTCCCCCACATGTGATATTTTTACCTAGTTCATCCCAGTGTCCCCATGTGGCTTCCGAATTCACCAGTGTATGACTAGCAGCTGTCACCAGACAAAGTCTTACAGCTGCCTGAAGCAGGGGACTCATATTACTAACACAAACATGAAAATGTAGCCTCGGTATAGGATATAGGGCATCACTGGTTTATTAACAGATATGCTAACAGCTACAATGTATACCCTTTTTGTAGCATTACATTGTGCAGTGTATGAAACTGAAAAACAGTACAAATATTTAATTACCTTTACACTTGTACAAGGTCTTCATAATCTCTCAACAGTTTCTACAATAGAGCTGTTCTTCAGCTAACTCAAATTCTCTTGACAGTGTACTGTACTTGGCCATACAAACATGTGAAAATCTATGTAAGGAATCTATGTAAGTGTATCAGCATACAGCACACAAGTGTTTTTTTACATTCAGTGAATGCACCAATGAAACACTTCAATAAGTCAGTATATAATAAAAAATGTAAATAATTGGTTGGTGTGTGTTACTGTGTCTTGTGCCCCATAAATGGGTTTTGCACTTTACATTCTGTTACATAATATATTATGGTTTACATAATATATTATGGTTTTTATGTAACATTCTGTTACATAATATGTTATGGTTACATAATATATATAATGGTTTTGATTTTGTACAATG